GGAGAGCTTCCCCATCGTCGGGTCGATGGGCCACCCGCTGATTGTGAACCCGTCGCGGGTCTTTACGCTGGGTGAGCTGGCTGGGCCGATTGCCGCGTACCGCCAGGCTTGGCTTGACGCCGGGCATCCGGGTACCGGCAAGGTCGGATTGCGGGTGCCGATTTATGTCAACGAAGACGCCGAACGCGCTTACCGGGAACCGATGCAATCGGCCATGAATTCAATAGGACGCCTGGGCCAACGGGTTGCATCCTACGCGGGCCGGGCGGGCACCACCGGCGACTGGGGCGAGCAGAGCCGGCGCATCTTGGGCATGGAATACGACGATTGGCTGAGGGAGAAGGTGGTGTACGGCACCCCAGACCAGGTCAGCAACCGGTTGTCAGAACTGGAGGAAACCCTGGGGCTGGACCAGTGCATCTACGAGTATACGATGCAAACTGATGTCACGACGAGCTGCAACCGATGCGATCGCTGCTTTGCGCTCAACAGAAGGTGTTGGCCGGCTGTGCATGTGAGTTAGCTGGCTGAATGCGGTCCGGCAAAGCGCCGCCTAATCCCAGGTGAAACAGACTTTACCAGTTCCACCGGCGTCAAAGAGTTTGTGTTGTAGGCGGCTCGCAGCGTTTCATCGAGCGATGAGAGTGTAGCGCGTGCGTAAAACAGGGTCTTCAGGCGGCACCCGTACGGTCGAGCCACGATCGCGCACTTCCTCGAGTCCGTTCAGGCTGAATGTCCATGAACCGAGTATAGTCAACTGCTTGTGGATAATTTGCGGGCTGACGTCGAAGGTGGTGGTGTTGCCTTCTCCCACGAAACACACTCGTCCCCACAACATGGCAGAATCTATCGTGAGTCGTGACCCTTGCCTCGGTGTGCCCCGGTGCAATTCAGCGCGGCGCTCCTTCTCGTGGAGGTTAGCGGATCGACGGATTAGCTCAACCGGATTTTGACTGCTGGCGTTGATGCAAACATCGGCGCCGAGCCGCTGCGCCAGCTGCAATCGGTCCCCATCAATATCGACTGCGATAACCGGGCGCCATGGCTTGCGAAAATCGTTCACGCTGGCTCCACCGAGACCTGCGCCGAGATGGCCCTGATGGTATCGTCGCCGGCGATGTTGAGGCGCTTCAGGGCATGGAAAGCGGTGCCGGTGCCGCAAGCGCATGCGGAGCCTTCATCGAAGTCCAATCCGTCGGGCATTTTGACGCAGGTATACGCCGGACAAATCAGGAAGTCTCGTGCCAGCCGTTGCGCCGGGTGCCATTAAACCACGAGCATCAGGCAACAGTTGGTGTAGCCGATCCGCAAACTGGTGCAGGTCGGACCGGTTTATAGTGGTGCATCATCACGCGGTCGCCGACGGCAACTTCGGTAACATCGGCGCCGATTTCCGCGACAACGCCACATGGTTCATGTCCGGCCACCTTCAGATTGGCCTGGTCGCCACGCTCCGATCTGGCTGCCCGGTAATGCCGCAAGTCGCTGCCGCACAACCCGGATGCTTTCATCGCGATGACAACATCGCCGGGCCCGGGATGAGGATCGGGAAGAGTACGGATCTCCACCTCTCGGTCGCCAGTAAATACTACGCCACGCATATCCCAGTTCCTCCAGCAAATGTTGAGGTTTCGTGTTACGGGTCGATCAAAACGCCCGGGTTCAATATACCGTGGGGGTCGAGTGAGCGCTTGGCGGCGCGGAGAGCGTTAGCGAATGGATCGGGCCTTTGCTGGTCGTACCAGGGCCGATGCGTCCTGCCGACGGCGTGATGGTGTGTTATTGTGCCGCCGGCTGCCATCACCGCGTCGGAAGCTGCCTGCTTGATGGCGGCATGGGCTTCCAGTTCTCCGCCAACCTTACCGAGCGCTTCAAAGGTGTAGTAAGGGGCTGGCCCATCGGGGTACACATGGGTGAAGCGGCACGATACGCGCCCGTTTCCGCACGTATTTTGCAGCGCGTCATGGAGAGCCGAGCGCACCGCGGCGTCCATTTGGGGCCAGCGGTCCCACGTGATTGAGCTTTCCAGGGTTTCGGCAACGACACCGAATCCCATGGTGACGTTGCGCTCATACGGTGCGTTGATGAAGGAATTGCGCCAGCTGCCCACCGCGCCCTGCCGTCCGGCGGATGTATCGGCGCGCTGGGCTGCGTCGGCGATTACGATGTTGTCCTCGTTGATGCTGCCGCCGGCGTCGCGGGCGATGGCGACGGCCTGGCGGATATTGTCATCCTGGGGCAACTCTGCGGATTCGAAGCCAATGATCAACAGGGCTTTTTCGCCATCCAGTCCGGCGAAATCCTGGGCTTCGGACGGGTCCAGCATCCGCAGGTTGGCCGGCCACATCTTTGCCTGGGCAATCAGACGCGCTCCTTCCGAAGCTCCTTCAATGCTATCGAACACAACGCCGGCGGAGCCGCGAAAACGTGGGCGGGCCTGGATACGCATCCACGCTTCTGTGATCACTCCCAGGATGCCCTCGCTGCCTATTACCAAGCGATCAGGCGATGGCCCGGCTCCGCTGCCCGGCAGCCGGCGGGATTCCCAGACTCCGGCAGGAGTGATCATGCGCACCGATTCCACGAAGTCATCAATGTGGGTGTGGTTGGTGGCGTAGTGGCCTCCGCTGCGGGTGGCAATCCAACCGCCCAACGTGGAAAACTCGAAGCTCTGCGGGAAGTGTCGGAGGGTGAAACCGGCGGGACGCAACTGGGCTTCGAGACCCGGGCCAAGGGCGCCCGCCTGGATCCGAGCGGCTCTGGATGTGTCGTCGATTTCCAGCACCTGGTCCAACCGGGTCAAGTCAATAGTTACAACGGCATCCGCCTCGGGCGGCTCGACCCCTGCCACCACCGTACTTCCGCCCCCGTACGGAATGGCGACGATATTGGAATTGGAGCACCAATCCAGCAGGACGGTGAGTTCCTGCTCCGTGCTGGGATAGGCCACGACGTCGGCGGGTTTGGAAACTGGAGGTTGAAACCGCGCAATCGATCACGAAAGCTGCGACCGTAGGTATGGGAGGCGCGCTCGTGGTCATCCATGGTGCACATCCGGGCCACCAACGGGTGGGGAGACATGCGGGGTTTGCGGAGGTTGAGGTCGGCGCTGGTGGGAGGAGTGGGCAAGGCTACCGTGGCGCCATACCGTTGGTGTAGCCGCTGAGCCATCGCCACATACTGATCATGCGACGGCTCCTGATCTTCATTACCCCACGCCCAGAAACTGCGGCGGGCCATGCTATGCCTCCTGTGCCTGATACTGGCGGGATTATAGCAGTGCGCGGCAACGGCGTGGTGGGTCGTCGCACGGGGGCTACCCGTGGCGTGGGCACGAAATGGTCGGGGTGAGTGGATTCGAACCACCGACCTCCACGTCCCGAACGTGGCGCGCTAGCCACTGCGCTACACCCCGACTGATGATCATTATATCACCGAGTGATTAGTAGGCTGATTACAGGGGATGGTTTAGCAGGGCAACTGCATTATAAATTGCACTTGCGGCGTTCCGGCGCAAACCGGAACCCAGAAAGCACGATGGAGTCGGATTTCGGACGGTCTGCAATACTTGCGGACACTGGATTCCCGCGTTTGCGGGAAAGACGAGGGCATTAGAGTCAAAATGCGATTGCCCTGAATGGTTCAATCGGCGACGACGGTTTGCCGCGCGCGGTTACGATTGCGTTTGCGCCGCCTGGGCTCGGGGGATGGCGTGACGGGGGCTGAATCGACCGTTTCATCTGTGGATTCCTGTCCATTCGCGAGCTCCTGCGCGGCTTCCAGGGCCGCCCGCATTTCTGCTACAAAGGTTGTCACGCGCCGCAAAAACACGGCCCAGCCGGCTCAACCCGTGGTCAATTTCGCCGCCGACACGAACCTCAATGTCGCGACGACCAACGCGCACCGCCGGACCCAACAATTTTTGCAGGGCAATTCGCGCATCGCCAACAGGCTGTCTGAATATCACCGTCACGATGCCGTCTTCGGCGCCAACGATGGATTCGACACCCGCTGCTGCCGCGAGGCAACGCAGGTCGGTGACAGATAGCAGGTTTTCTGCTGAATCGGGCAGTGGGCCGAACCGGTCCTGTAAGTCGGTTCGCACCGCCGGGATTTGTTCGCGGTCGGTGATGGTGGCCAGGCGTTGGTAAAACGCAAGGCGAGCTGGAAGGTGTGCTACGTAGTCTTCGGGGATATTGGCCGGCACGGGAATGTCGATGCGCGGAGGTGGATTGGCTTCGGCCTGGCGCGGATGAGTCTCGTCATTTTGCAGTTCTGCCACCGCTTGGGTCAGCAAATCTGAATAGAGATTCAGCCCGACTGCCTGAATCTGCCCGCTTTGATCGGCGCCGAGCAGGTTACCCGCCCCCCGAATTTCCAGGTCTCGCATCGCAATGCGGAAACCTGCGCCCAATTCGTCTGCCTCCAGAATGGCGAGGATGCGTTTGCTGGCTGATTCGGTGATTTCGCGATCATCGGGAAGGAGCAGGTACGCGTAGGCGCGGTGATCCCCTCGTCCAACGCGACCACGCAACTGGTACAGTTGGGCCAAGCCAAACCGGTCCGCACGGTCGATTATGATGGTGTTGACGTTGGGCATATCGAGTCCCGATTCGATAATGGTGGTGCACACCAACACGTCGCCCTGGCGGTTGGCAAAGGAGACCATTACGTCTTCCAGTTCGGATTCCGGCATTTGCCCATGGCCTACCAGGATGCGGGCTTCGGGCACGAGTTTGCTCAACGTTTCGGCGGTCTGATGGATTGAACGTACCCGATTGTGCAGGAAGAATACCTGACCGTCGCGCTCCAATTCCCGGAGGATGGCTTCGCGAACCAACTCGTCGCTGGCTTCCGATACGAAGGTTTTGACCGGTAACCTGGCCTCGGGGGGCGTTCGAATAACGCTCATGTCCCGGACGCCGGCCAAGGCCATGTGCAACGTTCTGGGGATAGGTGTCGCGCTCAACGTCAGCACGTCAACCTCGGCCCGCAACTGCTTGAGACGTTCTTTGTGAACAACGCCGAAACGGTGCTCTTCGTCGATGATGACCAACCCAAGGTTCTTGAATGCCACGTCTTTCTGTAGCATCCGGTGCGTGCCGATCACGATGTCCACCGAGCCTGCTTTGGCGGCAGCAACAACTTCAGCCTGCTCTTTGTGGGTACGAAATCGGCTCAGGACTTCAACCTTTACCGGATAGGGAGCAAGGCGTTCTGCAAAAGTCGCGTAGTGTTGCTGCGCCAATACCGTTGTCGGCACGAGGATGGCGATTTGCATTCCCTCGTTCACGACCTTGAATGCTGCCCGAAGCGCCACCTCAGTTTTTCCGTAGCCAACATCCCCACAGATTAAACGATCCATGGGGCGCACCGTTTCCATGTCTCCCTTGACCTCGTCGATGGCCTGTAGTTGGTCGGGCGTTTCGACGTACGGGAATGAATCCTCAAGGTCGCGTTGCCAGGCCGCGTCCGGTCCGAACCGATGCCCATCTATGGATTCACGGGTGGCGTACAAACGCAACAACTCCGCCGCGATCTCCTTGGCGGCCCCTTGAGCGCGTTCTTTGATACGCAACCATTCATTGCCGCCCAGGCGGGTGAGGGACGGAGGTTGATCAGTGGGTGCGACGTAAGCGCCCAACCGGTCCAGTTGTTCGGTGGGGACATACAGCCGGTCATCACCAGCGTATTCCAACACCAGGTATTCACGGTCGTCGTCGGTGGAACTCAGGGTGGCTGTTCCGGCGAACCTGGCCAACCCGTGATCGATATGCACCACGTAACTGCCCGGCGTGAGCTCGGCGAGGGATACGGCGTCTCCCAGGTTCCGACGGGTCCTGGGGGCGCGGTAACGGCGCTCTTTGACGGTTCCGAACAATTCGGCGTCGGTGTACACGGCCACCGAGACACCGGTTCCCTCGCTGTCGATTTGCCAACCCTTTCGCAACGATCCGTTCAACAGGTATACGTTTCCAGCACGCGGCCGCGTGGGCAAGTGATCCGCCAGCTGAGCAGCAATGCCGGCGTCGGTGAGGACTTCCTGGAGGCGTGCAGCGTGCTGGCTGACCGCCACAACGGCTCCGTCCTGATGTAGTCGGGATGCAACGTCGTGGGTGAACTGCTCCAATCCGGCCATGGTGTCAGCCAATGGGTCTACCACGGAGACGCCGTCTACTCCCGCCCACCGGCTGAGATTCACGGTGGCCAGTCGGTTCTCGAGCATCTGAGACCGCAGATGTTCCCAATCGGTGTTGGGTGACGGGAATCCGTATGGTAACTCGCCCCGTTCCTGACGGATGGTAAATTGTTGAGCATATTTGGCGGCCTGTTCTTCGGCCTCAGCCGCCAATCTCTCGGGGCGGTCAAGGACGACCACCGTGTCGTCGGGCAGAAACTCCGACAACGTATGGTGGTTGAGCAATCCGTTGTAAAACGACAGCGATTCCTGGATCGGGCTGGACGACAGTACGCTGAGCTCTTCCTGAAACCGCGACACCCACCTTGCAGCACACGGCGACAGGTCGATGCGGCTACGCTTCATGGACAACGTCTCTGGATCGCTCAACTGGGGCAACTGTTCGCCGGCGGCAATGATCCGTACCTCGGCGGCATCCTCAAACGATCTTTGGGATTCGGGGTCGAAACGGCGGATAGTGTCGACTTCGTCGTCCCACAACTCGATGCGATAGGGGAGTTCGGCGTTGGGTGGGAACACATCCAATATGCCGCCGCGCAGGCTGAACGTGCCCGGAAAGTCGACCTGGGGTTCGTGTCGGTATCCCAGCTGAACCCATGCCATGAGCAAGCTGTCCAGCGATGGCACCCGGCTACCCTTGCGCAACAGGTTGGCATCCGGTACCGAAGGGTGGTGCCCAAGGACTACGGATGGCGACAATGTGAATCGCAACGCTGCGGCTACCGATGCCACCACCAGAGCGGGAGCGGCGTCGGATGCTCGTTGGGCGTCGCTCGCCCCAATGTTCAATGCTGCCAACGCGGACAGGCGTTGATTGCTGGTGCGAGCGTCCACGGCGAGGCGTTCGAAGGGCAGGACTTCCGGTTCGGACAACAGCCATACCGGAGCGTCGTCTCCCAGATAATTAAGGAGTTGGTCGTGCAGCCGGCGAGCGTCCTCCAGCCGGGGCGTGATCACGAGTACCGGTCGTTGTTCCAGTTGCCACAACGCCCCCACATATACGGGTTGATGATCGGGGGGAACGGTAACGGTGGGACTAGCGCTGGGTGCCCGGAGGTTGCGGAGATGACGCTGCATCCAAGTGTTTGCGCCCATCAAAGACAATAAGCCAGTAAGAGCCATAACCTAACCAAAGTGTATATAGTTATCCGGCGGATCAAAAAACGCCGATACGGGCCTGGCCAATGGCCAGCCCCGCAATAAGATTCTACGCCGTCCTGGTTGAGCAGGCAACCTGAAACAACGGCGGGTCAGCGAACTGCCGCAGGACCCTGGTTACGGGGATTCACGCCGCCGCCGGAGTGAGAACGGCCCCGTGATATAATTTCAGCCACTTCCCACCACCACGGATGACCAGCATGTCGACCCTGAAAGACCAGGCCGCGGCGAATCCCGACAGTGCCACCGGCATAAACAGCCGGCAGCCGCATTACCGGCGTATCGTGGTAAAAGCAGGCACAAATGTGCTTACCGGTGGCGACTCCTCCAACGGTCTGGACGAATCAGTTATGGCAGGACTGGTCAGCCAGATTTCCGGGTTGGTGAACCAGGACAAGGTCCAGGTGCTGCTGGTTACATCGGGGGCCATCGCTGCCGGGAGGCAGACGCTGGCTGAGTACGCAACGGTTCCCGCAATACCAGACATTCCGGCACGGCAGGTGCTGGCAGCGTTGGGCCAGGGTCGCTTGATGAATATTTACAGCGATTTGTTCGCCGCGTACGGGATTCCGGTGGCTCAAGCGTTATTGACCATAAACGACATGGCAGAACGTCAGTCGTACCTGAACATTCGGAATACCCTGTTGTCGTTGCTGGAACTCGGTGTGGTGCCAGTGTTGAACGAAAACGATGTGGTGGCGTCGGATGAAATTGGAGAAGTGTTCGGAGACAACGACCGTTTGTCGGCCCTGCTGGCGACGCTGATCGACGCAGACATGTTGATTATCCTCTCGGATGTTGATGGTTTGTACACCGCCGACCCCAAACTGGATCCCACTGCAAAACTGGTGCCGATGGTGGATTTGGTGGACGAACGGGTATCGTCGATGGCCGGCGAGCACCGCAACGCATGGGCTCGCGGCGGCATGCCCACGAAGCTCGACGCCGCCCGGCTGGTGACCTCTTCGGGAATTGCGATGACAATTTGCCGAGGACGTGACCCGGACGTGATCGCGCGGGCGGTTTGCGGTGAACCGGTGGGAACCTTCTTTCGGCCGGCCAGCAGCAAACTGGAGGCCCGCAAACGGTGGATGCTCAGCCGGGTGGCCGATGGCGACTGGGGTGAGGTCTTTGTGGACGATGGCGCGGTGACGGCCCTCAGGAACAACGGGGTAAGTCTGTTGCCGGCGGGCGTACGCACCGTGTCCGGGGAGTTCAAGAGAGGCGACATCGTGTACGTGGTGGACTCTTCGGGCCAACGCGTCGCCTGCGGAATCGCCAATTACACCTCCGCCGATATCCGCAGAATAAGCGGTTTGCAATCGAACCGAATTACGGACACCCTGGGTTATCAATACGGGGAAGAAATTATCCACCGCAACAATCTGGTATTGCTGTAGTATCCGTTGGACCCCTTTGCATTGGAGACTGTTCAGATGACTCCCGCCGAACATCTTTACGAACAAGGCGCTGCCGCGCGGTCTGCTGCCGCGTTGTTGGCCCGTGTGCCTGAGGGCATACGTAATCACGCTTTGGCCAACATCGCCGAAGCGTTGGACTCAGAGCAGAGCGAGGTGCTGGCGGCAAACGAGGCCGACTATCGGGACGCCAAGACGGCGGGGATTGACGACGCCTTTCTCGATCGCCTGTTGCTGACGCCGGATCGCCTGCGTGGTATGGCCTCAGACGTGCGCGGGGTTGCGGCGCTGCCCGATCCGGTGGGGGAAAAGATCGAATCGTTCGTGATGGAGAACGGGTTGAGAGCCGAGAAGCGACGCGTTCCGTTGGGTGTGATCGCCAGCATCTACGAGAGTCGACCCAACGTGACCACTGACATAGTTTCGTTGTCGCTCAAATCTGGAAACGCCTGCCTCCTGCGTGGGGGCAAGGAGACGTTGCGCTCCAATACGGCGCTGGTTGAGCTGGTGCGGCGAGCGGTAGGAGAGGCGGGAATTCCATCGGACGTCGTGCAGTTTGTCGACAACGTCGACCGCGGGTTGGTGGACGTCATGCTGGGCATGAAGGAATACATCAATCTGCTGGTCCCGCGCGGCGGAACTGGGTTGATAAACTTCGTCGCCGAGCACGCGACAATGCCAGTCCTCACCGGCGGGGTGGGAGTTTGCCACACTTATGTTGACCGCGAGGCTAACGTGGAGATGGCTGCCCGTATTGTGCATAACGCCAAGGTACAGCGCCCGACGGTATGCAACGCACTGGACACGGTGCTGGTTCACTCGGAAGCGGCAGCACGCAGCCTACCCCGGATTGCTTCGATGTTGGGCGAAGCCGGCGTCGAAATGCGCTGCGATCACCGGGCCCTGAGTATTTTAGGCCCAGCTGACGGGCTGAACGCAGTGGCCGCACAGCCCGATGATTGGGGACGCGAGTTTTTAGCCCTCATTGCGGCGATCAAAATCGTCGACAGCCTGGATGACGCCCTGGACCACATTCAGACCTACGGGTCAGGCCATTCCGAGGCCATCGTTACCGATGACGAGGACGCGGCGCAAAGGTTTTTGACCGAGGTTGATGCCGCGGCGGTTTACCACAACACCAGCACGCGCTTTACGGACGGGTCGCAGTTCGGCCTGGGCGCCGAGGTTGGTATCAGTACCCAGAAATATCATGCCCGGGGGCCTTTGGGATTGCGCGAATTAACTTCCTACAAATGGATCGTGAGGGGCGATGGCCAAATCCGTGAATAACGTGGGCCAGATCGCGAGCAGCGCTACGATCGCCATTGTGAGGGTGACGTAGTGGTATACGATTACGAACGCGAAGTCCGTACCGGCAACTCGGAGGCTTTCCTCATTCTGGACGGGGAAGATGTGGTTGGGCGAATCGACACGCATTTTTTGCCCGGGGCGGCCCACGTTTCCATTGCGGTCGAACAGCGCATCACGCCGGAACAAATTGAAGAGATAATCTCGGACATAGATTCAGACATGCTGAATACTGTGGGGACAGAACGGGATACGCACCTGTACCACGTTTTTCAGGGAACCGAGATCCGCGTATTCAGCGATGGCGGCTACGACGAATACGGAGGGAATGGCAACGGCCATGGCCACGGTCCGTTGCCGCCGCCCGGCGGGCAGTGGATAACCGAACCACCTGTACTGGGCTCGTTGGATTGAGGGCGCCGGAAGGAACCCGCTAACGCTTGCGGGCTACGGCGCGCAGGGTGGCCTGCTCGATACCTTCTACGGTTAACCCGTTTTTGGCCATCAGTTCGAGGGCTGGACCGGAGCCGGTGTAACCCTGCAATGCCACCATTTCCACGGGGACCGGATGGTTCCGGGACACGATGCCTGCTACGACGCTGCCGAGACCGCCGTGGGCGTAGTGTTCCTCCGCGGTTACGATGGCGCCAGTTTCCCGGGCGGCGGCGATGATCGACTGCTGGTCGGCGGGGGCCAGCGTGTGCAGGTTGATAACGCGGGCGTCTATATCTTGCGATGCCAGGTTCTCGGCGGCATCCAGGGCCAGGGAAACAAGCGAACCGTTGGCAATGATTGTAACGTCGGAGCCGTTTCTCATTATGTCAGCCTGGCCGATTTTGAATCCATAGCCGTTGGTGTGCACTATGGGCGTGGAAGCCCGCGACAGGCGCACGTAAACCGGCCCCTTCGTGGCGGCAGCGGCTCGAATTGCCTGCTCGGTTTCAACCGAGTCTGCCGGTGAGATTACGGTGAAAGTGGGCAAACGCGCACATCAGCGAAAGATCTTCTATGCTGTGGGCAGACATGCCGTCCTCGCCGGTGAGGATACCAGCGTGGGTGCAAACCAACTTCACGTTGAGAGAAGGCTGAGCAACCAGGACGCGCAACTGGTCGAAGGGCCGACCGGTGCCAAACACGCTGAATGTGCTGACGAATGGTATTTTGCCGGCGGCTGCCAAGCCTGCCGCGACACCGACGATGTTCTGCTCGGCTGGGCCGAAGTCGAAGAACCGATCGGGAAATTGGTCTCTCCACAGATGCACGAACGTAGAGACGTTCAGGTCGCCGCCCAGCACCACGATGTCGGGGTAATCCTCCGCCATGGTGAGCAAGGTGCGGCCGTAAGTTTCCCTGGTGGCGGCCGTTGCGCGGGGGGTTGCCATCAGGCCAACTCCTTCATTGCTGCATCGTATTCGTCAGCGGTAGGGGCCCGGCCGTGGAATCCGGGGTTATTTTTCCATAAAGCTGACGCCCTTACCTTTTACGGTTTCGGCAATTATTACCGCTGGTCCGACTCCACTGGATTCGTCAAGAACCCTCAGAACATCTGCGTGTTGATGTCCATCGCAGGTGAAAACGGCCCAACCGAAATCGCGCCATCGGTCGGCGAGGGGTTCCAACGCCATCACCTCGTCGGTGAACCGGTCGTTCTGAATTCGGTTTCGGTCGACGATGGCGGTCAAATTGCGGGCTTTGTGGTGAGCTGCAGCCATGGCAGCTTCCCAGATCTCGCCTTCCTGGCATTCGCCGTCGCCGAGCAGGGCAAACACCCGGTAATCCTTTCCGTCCAATCGCGCTGCCAGGGCGTGGCCCAGAGCAAATGACAACCCCATGCCCAGGGAGCCGGAGTTCATTTCCACACCCGGAATCATGGGGTGGGCGTGACCCTGGAGCAATCCGTCAGTTTTTCGGAATGACGACAATTCATCCCTGTCGAAGTAGCCGGCACGGGCCAACGTGGCGTAGAAACCGGGTGATGCGTGGCCTTTGCTCAGGATAAATCGGTCTCGGTCGGGCCATTCCGGTTGGGAGGCGTCGTACCTGAGTACTCCGAAGTAGAGGGCGACCAGAATGTCGATTTCAGACAGCGAACCACCGGGGTGTCCGCTCCCCGCGCGGAATATCATCTCCACGATATCGCGGCGCAATTCCAAAGAAGTAGCGCTCATCTCTTCTACCGTCAGTGCCGGTTGGGTTACTGCCGCCAATTCCTCACCTGCGTTGGGAGCCTAAATTCGGGTCATATCCAAATTATTATATGCCCGTGCAAAGTTGGTGTCTATATTGGGTGAACCGGCCGGCTTACGGTCTGGTTTATACTGGGTTGGCCGCCGCCCGCGCGACGAGCGAAAGCTGTAATCATGATTATCGACGCCCATTGTCACCTATTGCCTCCTGAATTCGCCGACCAACACCAGGAACTAGCGTCCGCGGACGCTACGTATGCAGCACTGTTTCCCGAGCCGGGCGGCCGCATTGCCACCGTCGAAGATCTGGTGCGCGACATGGGAAAATCTGGTATCGACGGCGCGGTTGTGATGGGTTTTGGTTGGACGGACAAGTCGATTGCCGCCCGGGTCAACGATTATCTCCTGGAGGTTGCCAGCCGATATCCGGAAAAACTATACGCTTTTTGCTCGGTGAATCCGGCGTGGGGCGCCGACGCTGTCACCGAGGCGGTGCGCTGCCTGAAGTTGGGGGCGGTAGGTGTCGGTGAACTGCACGCCGACACGCAGGGGTTCGACATTACGGATCGGATTGTTTTGGAGCCGTTGATGGCTGAATTGCGGGAACGGCGATTACCCATAACAGTGCATGCCTCGGAACCGGTTGGACACCAATATCCGGGAAAAGGTTCGGTTACGCCCGACCTGCTGTTACAGTTCGTCGTCAATTTCCCGGATAACCGGATAATCCTGGCCCACCTGGGTGGTGGATTGCCGTTTTATGTCAACATGCCCGAAGTGGCCGATAAATTTACCAACGTTTGGTTCGACACCGCCGCCATCCCCTTCCTGTATCGTTCGAGCGTGGTAACTGCCACCATTGCCTCGGCTGGAGCCGGGCGAGTCCTCTTCGGAACCGATTATCCAATCTTGTCGCACCGGAGGGCGTTGGACTACATGGGAAGCGCCGAAGTCGGTTGCGAACACACCGCTGCGATCCTGGGCGGAAACGCCTCCAGGCTGCTCAATATCGCTGGGTTATGAAGCAATCGCAAAACACATCTGCTGCAATCACGCTGCCCGACTATTTGCGTCCGGGGTTGGACATCGTGCTGATCGGACTGAACCCGTCGAGTTTTTCGGTGCGAGTGGGGCATTATTTTGCGAATCCCCGCAACCGGTTCTGGGCGGCGATCAGCGCGGCGAACGTGGCTGGCCGCCCGGTGGGACCGGGAGACGAGGCAAAACTTCTTGATGATGGCATTGGATTCACCGATTTGGTCAAACGTCCGACGCCGCAGGCATCCGGTTTGCGCGCTGAAGACTATCGTAGGGAGGCGCCGATGCTGCGCGAAAAAATCACGCGGTATGTTCCGGCTATTGCCTGTTTTCACGGGTTGACGGCGTACCGGGCCTTCCTGAGATACGGTGAAGGCGCAAACCCACCAAGGGTCATAGATCTGGGTCGGCAGGAAAACACCATTGGCGAATCCAGGATTTTCGTATTGCCCAACCCAAGCCCTGCGAACGCTCAATACTCGCTGGATGATCTGACCCAATGGTATCGCAGGCTGCAAGAATGGCGCGAAGAGTTGCGCCCATGACCAGAACCACCGAATCCGTGCGGACGTTCATCGCTCTGCCCTTGCCCGAAAACTGGAGCAATGTTCTGGCTGATGTGATAGCGCAAGTGCAGCGCCGGGTCCCGGCTGGTGTACGATGGGTTGACCCTCTGGGCACACACCTGACCCTCAAATTCCTGGGGGCTACGGATATCAAAAAAATCGAGCCAATCTTATCGGGTTTGATTCCGGCTGCGACTGCAACCAAAAGCCTTGAACTGTCATTGGCGCAACTGGGGACGTTCCCGAATCTCCGTAATCCGCGCGTAATATGGGCCGGTGTCGATGGGTCTCTTGGGGGGCTGCAGGAGTTGCAACAAGGGGTCGAGCAGTTGGCGACTGAATTGGGCTGGGCGCAGGATTCCCGGCCGTTCAGACCGCATCTGACACTGGGTCGGATGCGGGACCGTGCCACGGCGGCCCAAAGGGTAGCGGTAACAGTCGCCATCTCGAACGTCGTCATGCCTGTCGTTCCGATGTGGAAACCGGATCTGGTTCGTCTGTACCGCAGTGAATTGACTCCGCAAGGCCCAATTTACACTAGCCTGGGCGACGTTGCCTTGCCGGGCAATTGTTGATCCGTCAGGACATTGGGGTAATTTATGGAAAACAGCATCGAGGAAAACATCACACCGGTCGCGCCTTACGACTTCCAGCTCACTGCCGGTCAACCGAGTTACTCGCGCGAGCAGGAGTTCAAAACCGAAGATTACGTTGACGATGCCTATATTCGTCTCCTGGATTTGGGGGATCAAGTTGCGCTGGCATCGGTGCGCTCGGTGGGATCGGTTGACTCGCCCCGGCTAGCGGTAACGTTGGTGGGCGACAACCTGACCCCTGAGGCCGCCGAATCCGCAACGGCTCAATTGCGTTGGTTGCTGGGTTGCGACCAGGAATTGCGGCCATTCTACGACGCGGTGGCGGACGATCCGGTGTTGTCAGATGTCGTGAATGATTTTTACGGGTATCACAACACCCGCACCGCATCGGTGTTTGAGGCATTGATCCAGGCGATAATGGGCCAGCAGATCGCCGCATCGGTGGCGCGGATAGTGCGCAACCTGCTGATTCAGCATTACGGAGTTCGGGCCACGGTATCGGGACAGGATTGGTACGCATTCCCCCGGCCTTTGAGTCTGGCCACAGCGGAGGTTGAGGACCTGCGACAGCTCAAGCTGAGTATGCGAAAATCCGAATACATCCAGGGGATCGCCAGAATCGCTGTTGACTCTGGCGACGGGTTCGAATCGCTTCACCAGCTGCCGGACGAGGAAGCAACCAGGCAGATGGTGGCAATTCGGGGTGTTGGATACTGGACCGCGCAATGGGTTCTGGTGCGCGCGCTTTCCCGCCCAGATGGGTTCCCGATCGGTGATCTTGCCCTGAGGCGAACCGTTTCGCGATTGTATTTCGATGGGGCTGAAATAACAGACAGCGAATTAATGGAATTCTCGCATCGCTGGTCGCCGTGGCGGTCGTACGCAACTGCCTATCTGTTCGCAGCGTTGAGATCGGGGCGAATCGCGGGTTCCTGACGCGAACGGCTGGGCAGTAGGCGGGGTTACCGCAACATCCGCATGAGGCCCTTGGGGTTGCTGGAAAACTGACGCATGAGCCGTTGGGTTTGTTTGAACTGATTCAGCACGCGGTTGACATCTGACGGGTTGGTGCCGCTCCCCAACGCGATCCGGCGGCGTCGGCTGGCCTTGATGATTTCCGGGTGTTCCCTTTCTTCCATCGTCATGGATCGAATGACTGCCTCGGTTTTCCTCAGTTCAGATTCGTCGAGTTGATCCTTCATCTTTTTGGTGGATTGGCCCATGCCGGGGATCATCTCCATAACGGAGGCCAATCCGCCCATTTTCTTGACGCCCTGGATTTGGTCCAGGAAGTCCTCCAAAGTGAAGCTGGCCGTGCGCATCTTGCGTTCCAGCTCTTTGGCCTTCTGTTCGTCCACGGCTTCCTGGGCCCGTTCGATCAGGGTTAATACATCGCCCATGGCCAGGATGCGAGAAGCCATGCGATCGGGATGGAATGCCTCCAAACCATCCGTGCGCTCTCCGGTCCCGATGAATTTGATGGGAACGCCGGTGACGCGGGTGATAGAGAGGGCCGCTCCGCCCCGGGCGTCTCCGTCCATTTTGGACAATATCAAGCCGTCCAAACCGATGCGCCGGTGAAACTCTTCGGCTGCGTTCACCGCGTCCTGACCGGTCATGGCGTCGACGACCAACAGCACCTGATGCGGCGAAATGGCGTTCTTGACGTCCTCCAGTTCACCCATAAGATCATCGTCGATGTGCAGGCGTCCGCCGGTGTCCACTATGGTCCAGGTCAAAGCCAGCTCGGTAGCGCGACGCACTCCGGCAACGGCAACGCTGGCAGGCGTGGCGCCGGCTGGATCCTCGGAATACACGGGTACGTCCAACTGTTTGCCCAAAGTTTGCAGTTGGGAGATGGCTGCAGGTCGGCGCAAGTCGGCGGCAACCATCAACGCGCTATGGCTTTGACGCCGCAGCTGCAACGCCAGTTTGGCCGCGGTGGTGGTCTTGCCTGATCCCTGCAATCCCACCAGCATCAGCACCGAAGGCAGCTGGCTGGAAGGAGTCAGGCGATGGTCTCCGGCGCTGAGGATGCCGGTCAGTTCTTCGTGGACGATTTTCACGACCTGCTGGCCCGGGCTGAGGCTTTCGAGGACATCGCTGTCCAGGGAACGCTCTTTGACCGCGGCGACGAAATCTCGCGCAACCCGGAAGTTCACGTCGGCTTCTAACAGTGAGCGGCGCACCTGGCCCAGAGCGTCGTCAATGTCGTTTTCGGTGAGACGGCCTTTTCCCTGGAGCCGGTTAAATATCCCCGTGAGGCGGTCGCTCAGATTGTCAAACACGATGGTTCCCCTATCGGACGTAGTGCTTCGGTAATTATTCCCACCGGAAGGTGCGGTTGGCGATGACGAAGGCTACCACAAGCCACACGGCGAGGCCCAGGAAATTGGGCCACTGGGTTATGACGGAATCTCCTTGCTGGGTCATGCCGCGTATGGCCTCCACCAGGTACGTAAGTGGCAGGTAGTCGGTTATGACCTGCAATACGTTTGGCAGCACGTCCCGGGAGAAGAACACTCCGGACAGGAACATCATGGGGAGGGCGACGATGTTTGCCAGAGGAGCCGCCTGTTGCTCGGTGCGGGACCAACCCGATACTGCGAAACCCAGGGCCAGGAACACCGCGCCGCCCATGGCGGCTGCCAGCAACACCGAGAAGAAGTTACCCGCGAACTCGGCGCCGAACAGGAACACCGCGACCCCCGCCAGTATGACGGTCTGAACCATGACGACCACCAATCTGGTGAGCACCTGGGCGATCAGCAGGGTGGCCGGATTGAGGGGGGTAGCCAGGAGTCGGCGCAACACTCCCTCGCGTTTCATGCTCACGAAGCTGAACGCCACGCTGAACATGCCCAGCTGCATGATGGACATGCCGATGACCCCGGGCATGAGGAAGTCGATGTAACCCAGGTTGCGGGCGTCCACAGGCTCGCTTTCAACCGTGATGACTCGCTGGGTTTCGGTGATCGCGAAGTTCATTTCGTCAATTGCCGACCGAAGGATGTTGAGCCCGACCTGCGTTTCGTTGGACCGGCTGGAGTGATAGAGGGCCTGCACCGTGGATGTTTGTCCCTCGCTCCCAAAATTCTCCGGCAGGATGATCACCAGATCCCGGTGCCCTTCGGTGAGGGCGTCGCGTTCGGTGGCCTCGGTGCCATGTTCAATGCGCAGCGCTCCAATATTCGCCAACCCGTCGGAGAAGGCGCTTGAAACGTCGTTCTGAGCGTTGTCGACGATGCCAACATCCAGCTTGCCCAGTTCGCCGAAGTTAAGGAGCCCGAAGATGACCATGATCACGAGGGGCAGGAAGAACGTCCAGAACAATGACGCGCGGTCCCGGGACCACATCTTGATGGACGTCCAGGTCAGGTAAATTTCTGGTCTGCGCAGCACCTACATCTCCCGCAGGGACCGGCCGGTCAAATCGAGGAAAACATCCTCCAAAGTGGCTGGGCGAACTTTCTGGGTTCGCTGAAACCCCCGCGCTATCAATTCGTCGATCAATGCCGCGGGTGTGTCCATCGTAATGATTCGGCCCTGGTCCATCACCGCTACACGGTCGCACAGTTCTTCCGCTTCTTCCATGTAGTGCGTGGTGAGCATGACGGTGCGGCCTTCCTCTTTCCACCGGAGCACCAGCTCCCACATGCGGTGGCGTGCCTGGGGGTCCAGGCCGGTGGTTGGTTCGTCGAGGAAGATAACGGCCGGATCGTTCACCAGAGATGCGGCGATGGCGAAGCGTTGTTTCTGACCGCCCGACAGCGTGCGGAATGAAGACGACTTTCGGTCCAGCAGGTCTACGGCTTCCAGCAGCGGGTCGGGGTTGACGCGAATACGGTAAATGCTGCCCAGCATCATCAGCAGTTCGGACAAGCGCAGGTGTTCGAAGAAAGCGCTGCTCTGCAGCTGGACCCCGATGATTTGTTTAACGGCGCGAGGGTCTTTGCTAACGTCGATACCGCCCACAGTCACTTTGCCGCTGTCGGCATTGCGCATACCCTCGATGATTTCTACGGTGGTGGTTTTTCCCGAACCGTTGGGTCCCAGGAGTGCGAACACCTCACCTTTGGCCACGTTGAATGAAACCCCGTCCACTGCCTGTATATCGCCATAGCGCTTGCGGATTTCCTCCACCACAATTGTGGGAACCGCCGCACCGTCATCAGCCTGATTTGTGGGTGTCGTGCATCGTATAAGGGTCGGTTGCGCGAACCGGTGTTAATTATAGCACCAGCCCCGGATGTATTCGGGATCAGGCGTTTCTGGCCACATTGCGATGGTAGAATCTGGTTGGCAATGTGATGCTGAAGCGAACCAGTTTGCGAATCTCTTGACACTCTTATGATCCCCCTGCGATTGACCGTTCGTAATTTCCTGTGCTACCGCAACGACGTGGGTCCCCTGGACTTTTGAGGGGATGCACGTGGCGTGTCTTTGCGGGGCCAATGGTCACGGCAAGTCTGCGCTTCTGGACGCAATTACCTGGAGTTTATGGGGGCAGGCGCGCACCGGGAACCGGAATTTTGATTCGTTGATAACCCACGGTGAAAGCGAATGCAGGGTCGAACTGGATTTCCAGTCGAGGGGGCAGGTGTATCGGGTGGTACGACGCCGGCGCAGCGCCAACCGCGGCCGTACTGAGCTTGACCTTTTCATTGTGGATCGTGGCGGTGACGGGGCCGAAGACGCAATCAGACCGATCACTGGCAATACCGTGCGAGAGACGGACGCCAAGATCTGCCAAATCGTGGGCATGGACTACGCCACTTTCGTCAATTCAGCCTTTTTGCTTCAGGGCGAAGCCGATGCCTTTACCCGGAAGAGCCCCAGTGAACGCAAAGAGGTGCTTGGCTCCATTCTGGGCCTTGGTCTTTACGAGGCCCTGCAGGACGGCGTCCGCGAACGTCGGGACTACTATCGTAACCAGATGGATTTACATCAGGGAGCGCTTCAGCAGGCTCAAGCAGAGATTGACAGCATTCCGGATCCATCGGAGGAGCTGACCGATGTTGAGCAAAGAATGTCGCAGTTGGACGATGAGCTGGTTGTAAGGGCCGTCGAGATTGAACAGCTACGGGTCAGCACTGGTGAGTTACGTGCCAAAGGAGTGCGGGTTGCAGGAAACCGCCAAACGCATTGAAAGTATGCGTCTCGACATTCAACGCACTGAATCCGCGTCTGAATCGGTGAGGCAACAGATCGAGAAGGCGCGCGGGTTGACGCTGAGGGCTGATGAGATTGCAGCTGGGGCATCGGCGCTGGAGTCCGCGCGAGAAAGATATCGGGTCCTGGAACAAGATCGCCTGAGGTTTGACCAACTGCGTGACGAGCGCGACAAGCATCTGCGAACCGCAGACCGGGTACGGACTGAGTTGCAAGCACAGGTGGAGTCCATAGGGCAGCGAATTAATGACGATTTGCGGCCGGCGGCACAGCGCGCATCCATCGTTGGCCGGGAGTTGGAGGAATGTGCCGAGTTGGAGCAGATGCTGGCGGTTGAACAGGGGCAGCTGGACGTACAAATCGCAGAGTTAGCCGAAATACAGGGCCGGGTGGCCCGGCTGAGCGGGGAATTGGAACGCTGCGTGACGGACGGGAAATCATTGAGGGCCAACCAGGAGCAAATGCTGGCCGCGGATGCCGTTTGCCCGCTTTGCAGGACACCACTGGATCAGGATGCTTGCGGCAGCGTCGTGGAGTTTTATGAAGCCGAAATCGCAGCCAAACTGGAGCAGCACCGGGAGATCCAGGCAGTGATTCACGAAAACGCCGGGATGCTCGACGAATTGCAGCGACACATCGAAACAACCCGGAAAGACCTGACCAGCCGCACGACAAAGACGCAGCGAGAACGCGGACGCCTGGAACGCGAGCGGGAATATGGCGAGGCGGCACAGAAACAAATCGTCGATTTGCTTCCCCAGCTGGAAGCTTCTGTGTCCGCGCTGAAAGCGGAGACTTACGCCGAGGACGATCGTTTTGCAGTGGCGAAGATCGAGGCTCAAATCCTTGAGTTGGGCTACGAAGAAAAGCAGCGGCAACAAGCCTTCGAGATGATCCAGGCTCTGCAGCACTGGGAAACCGAGCAGGTGCAGTTGAATGCCGCCAGCGCGAGGCTTACGGAAGACGAATCCCAGGTCGCTCGGCTCTGCAAGCAGACCGAGCGGTTGCACCATGAACTCGCTGAAATTGAAAACCAGCTGGTTGCGGACCAGCAAGCGGCGCGGGATCTGCCGGCCGTGGAGCAACAATTACGAATTGCCCAGGACTCAGCTGACGGATTGACCAGGGATCGTAACGCCGCCGCCGAGCGCCGGGGGTTTCTGGCGGCCAACGCAGAACGACGCGGCCGGCTCAGATCGGAGATTGCCAGGCTCACCGCGTTGTGCCAGCAGGATCAAAACGAGCTGGCGGTATACACCGAGTTATTTGCCGCCTTCGGCCGGAGCGGCGTGCCGGCCATGCTTATTGACGCAGCGGTGCCGCGGATCGAAACCGAAGCGAACCTGCTGTTGGGCCGCATGACCGACAATCGTATGGCGGTAAGGCTGCAGACTCAGCGTACGAATCAGGGCGGCAGTTTGACCGAAACCCTGGATATTTTGGTGAGTGACGAGCTGGGAGCCCGGAGTTACGAAGTATTCAGCGGCGGTGAAGCATTCCGGATCAATCTGGCTCTACGCATTGCGTTATCCAAAGTGTTGGCCCAACGGATGGGTGTACCACTACCTACGCTATTCATAGACGAGGGATTCGGCACGCAGGATGCCTCGGGGCGGGAGCGCATCGTGGATACTATTTCATCAATACAAAACGAGTTCGAAATGATAATCGTGATCACGCACCTGGACGACATCAAGGATCTGTTCCCTGTACGCATCGAAGTAGAAAAAACCGCCAGTGGATCGAATTTCTGGGTTTCCGCCTGAATCAGGCTGGGAGGTGTATATGCTAACTGAAACGCAACGACAATTTTTGACCGAAAACCACAACGGGGCCGTGACGACGTTCCGCAGGAGCGGCGCCGCACAAGTAAGCATCGTTACTTGCGGCCTTCATGGCGAAGGAGTGGCGTTTACAACGACGGCCGACCGCGCCAAATTGCGTAACCTGCGACGGGATCCACGCTGCACCATTTTGGTAGGCAGCGATGACTGGCGGCGATTCGTCGTCCTGGAAGGGGCAGCACGCATGGTCTCCGTGGACAACGCCACGGCAGATGAGTATCGGGAAACGCTGAGAGACGTGTATAGAACCTCGGCCGGTGTGGAGCACCCCAACT